CCCGTAGGAGGCTGAGTTAGGCAGACAGCAAAATTGGCCAAAGATATTCCATTCCATATATCTACGTAAGCTCAAAAGAAGGTCAGAGATCACAGAAGACAACTTCCTTCCTTCTTCTTCTCCCCTTCTCTTCCGTCCGTGGCCGGCGTCCAGGGAGGACTCTGTTCATCCATCACCGTCGATCCTCAGGCTTGATCTCTCCTGACCCCCATAACTCTCTGCTTTCTCCAGCAGCAGCTCCGGGATTCCTCGGGACTCTTCCCAGTTCAGGGAAGTGCTGTGGGAGTTGCTGGGGTGGGGGGAGGCGAGAGGCTTTTGCCTACACCTGAATATATCTGTATATAATTGTATATATTTTCTTGTATCCTTCATTAGTGTTTTAATTAAAGTTGTGTAGTTTAGTTTTCAATCCAGCCAAGTCTCTCTCTTTTTCTCTCTCTCCTTCCCTACCTGGGTTGGGGGGAGGGGGGATCGAGAGCATTGGTGTCGGACCTAAGTCAAACTGTGACAATAGTTTTGATTAGGTACAACTTATAGATTGATGTAGTAGAAATCGAGAAAAAAGCTGCAACAGGAACTAAAGTTTAAAGCAGATGTAGCACAACTGTGAGCTGGGCATTTAGAACTGATTTTTATGTGAAATCTGTTTCTTACATGAAAAGTAAGCTTCCCAATTTTGTTAGTTGGAGAAAATTTTGTCATCTTCACATGGTCCTGAAGCATTCAAGAATCTTGGGATAATGCAGAAGACTGATAATCTTTTCTCAAAATTTTCAATGAAAGCCTTGATTTAGAAGCTTGTCAATCTGCCAAGTGACCTTCTTGAAGGACATACAACTTTATCCAATAAGATTAAAGATACTTTCTATAATTTATTGGATATTCTACCCTTCAGGTTGCCCATAAAAGGAGTAAGGGAAACTACAGGAAAATTGCCTATAGTTCTTAGTTTTTATTCTGAGATTGGAGACTGCCTGTTTATACTGAAAATGTTTATCATTGCTTTCCTGTGGGAAGTGCAGCAATTCTGGAAACATGCCATTTTGTCTTGTGACTGCTTCTTTTATAGAACTAATAATTATTTTTAATACTGAAAAAAGGAAGCTGTATCCTGACTTGAACATTTTGCAATAAGGTACTAGGGAACTATTTCTTACTGTATTGCAAAATGTGAATTAGAAGACTTGTATCCAAAACCTAAAAAGTTAAAATACTAAATTTCAGCACATGTTGATATGAGTTTATTAAAGCAAACTCTTCTCTTCCAGGTAAACAGCCCTTATTAATAACAAATACAGAAACAATTGGAAAGCATTATTTGATAGGTTTGTGCAACAAACATTGGTTGTAAGAGGAAATTTATATGGGTTTGTAAAGAACAAAATAGATTGCTATTCTAGGAGTTTCATACTGATGCTCAGAGATTGAGTCAAGGATTGCAGAAACTTTAAAACAGTGTGTAAGGAATTGAATTAATTTGTAAATTATTAAGAGTTGCTCGTTTTCAGGAGAAAGGTGAAGCTATTAGGTTCTACCTGGATAACTGTTAACTTTCAGTGTAAAACTTAAGAGTTTACAGCACAAAGCTTGTCTCTACCCGTATTGACAATTTGGAATATCATAACATGGCAGGATTGCTATGGAGATCTACACCACTTACTGCTTTGCCTGGAAAGATATGACCAGCTCCTTAAAATTCATATATGAATGCAAAGGAAGAGGGCAAGCAAAAAATTGGAAAAGTTTGACTTAATAATGTTTTGAATTGATGAGAAGTGGACTTACTTGAGGTGGTGATAGGCTTGGGTAGGCTAGGGCAAGAAAAAAGATAAGCATAAGTTGCATTAATTGGAATTAGTTACAGAATTATTATAGTGTGATTAAAAAAAAAAATCTCTTCCAGATTCTAATACGATTTCTCCATTATTTTTTTTTCCCTGCCAGTATCCCCTTGTATTTGGACTGATTCTTGCATTCTGCTGGTGTTCTTTGGTTTGCTGTAGTCGAATTTATATGGGAATGCATTCAATTTTGGTAAGAAATAATCCTACAAGCCTTCTGTTTTAATGTTCTGATTTCATAAATTTTCATCACACTTACATTTTTATGGTGCAGTAATTATATATAATTTTCTCTAGAATGTCCTACCAGATAAGAACAGAATACTTACATCTCAATGTGCAGTTGGGTTCCACGTCAGCTACTCAAAGTATGTGGATTTCAGAGTGCCATTCTAAAATGCTAGGATTTTAGTTACCAAAGTTTCTAAAGAACCAAATGGCAAAGTTGTCATCTTTGAAAAACACTCTTAAATATGGATTTAAAAAAATAAAGTGAAACACAAGTGCATGCAATGTAAAAATGGTAAAACAAGAGCACTCCAAAATCATAATCAGAATGTAAGGCCACTGATAAGGATGGCTACAGAACACTTGCTAGAAGGAGGAGAGCTAACAGGCAGAAAACAGTAAGCCTGGTAGCAAGTAGTAAATCTAGCAGGTGAACACAGTGTAAAGGGAGCATGCAAAAACAAGGCAGCTCAGAAAACCTGAATTATATATTTGCATTACTGGTTAGGAAGCTTCTGAAGTCAGAACCAGTTGTGTGGAGGACAATGGGATGAACTGATGTTTCTGCTGATAGTGTCAGCTGGCAGGTAATGTCTTAGAACAGAGTCATGCAAAAAAAAGCCATGCATCATCATGCATGCAACCATGCAACATCAGCTATGCAACAGTTTCATACCTGAATCCTCTGTAGTGTTTGATATTAAATTCTGACTTTCATAACAGTCAGTTATGTTAGAGCTTTTATTAAGCATTCAGTTAGTGAAAATGAATAAAAATGATAGCTTATAAGGAAAAGTTAAGCTTGTGAATGAAGGTGATTTTGTTTCTAGTGCTTGAATTTCTAAAAAGCCATCAACAAATTCCTTCTAATAACTAAAGGTGACAAAAGTTGCAGATAATTCTATAAACTGAGTGGTTAATCAACAGTAACTGAAAGGTTAAAATAACCTTTTAATTAAGACACTAAAACCAATAAGAAAACAAAAAATCAACTATGAAGTTACAGAAGTTACCTCTTCCTCTCCTTGAGTAGTCTGAAATGGTTCTCCATACTTGCAGTATCTGTAGTTCTAAAGCTGGAGCGGAAGGTCTGAGCTCCAGGGGTCCTTGGCTGCCTTATTGGCGGTTGCTGCCAGCGTGTCTGTGTGTTGGCACCCGGGCACTTAGATCTGCTGTTGACCTGTTCCAGCAAACTAAGTTGGCAGATCATATTTAGCTGGGCTAGATTTGTGCTGATTGCAGGCTGGAATGCCCCTGTCATGGACTGGGATCACTGTAGCCAGCAAACAGCTTTGTTTGATCATGGATTGCTTGATCACAGCTTTACTGATGATCATTCATCATAGAATTGTATCATATCATAAAATTATCTGATCATGCTGCAGATGTCCTATTAATAGGTAAACAAATTCAGTTTCTTACCTTTAACATAAAAATTATTTAATCTTGAACAGCAAATGAGAAAAGGTGGGAATCCCCAAGTCACTTTTAGCAACAGAGCAACTAGGCTTGTCTCTGTGCTAATGTAACTTACATTGTTTTAAAAAAAATATTTATTATACTAATACTGTATGTTTCTCTCTCTTTCATAGGATGTTATTGCTGGATTTCTGTATGCTATTCTCATCTTGGTTGTCTTCCATCCAGTTGTGGACCTGATTGATAACTTCAATTTAACTTACAAATACGCACCCTTGATTATCATCAGTCTCCATTTAGCCCTGGGCATCTTCTCTTTCACTCTAGACACCTGGAGCACCTCACGAGGAGACACAGCTCAGATCCTGGGCTGTGGTGCTGGAGTAGCCTGTGGCTCTCATGTTAACTACCTAATGGGTCTAAAGCTAGATCCTCCTCCCCATACCTTACCTTTGTCTCTTTCCTCTCTCACTGTGACTGTGTTTGGAAAAGCCATATTGAGGTTGTTGATTGGAGTCATAGTCCTGTTGTTAACAAAAGTAGCCATGAAAAAAGCCACGATTCCACTGGCGTGTAGAATATTCCGCGTACCGCATGAGGATATACGGAAAGCCAGGCAACGCATGGAAGTCGAGCTTCCCTATCGCTATATTACGTATGGAACAGTTGGGTTCTCCCTCATGTTTATTGTTCCTTGCCTCTTCCATTTTATTGGTCTTTCCTGATGCAGCTTTAGCACCCTAAATAGGGAGAACAGAACTAGTTGCTTTTTGAAGAGGTGTACTAGTTTGCAAAGGGAAGGCCAGCGAGCTTAGCTTTAGCAGGGCCTTCACTCTCACAGCAATATGTAGCAGGGCAAAGCATTTAAAGAACTTTGCACATCTTCGGGTATGGTATGGGTCCACAAGTCAAATATCAGCCCCCAAGAAGTGCTGAACTCTATAAATGCTGTGTCTATAGTCTTATTGCTGTAACAGAGTCTGTGTGTGTATGATGCAATGAATGTATCCGGAATGTCTGTTGTTCAGTACCTGCATACACTGACATTTAACAGGTATGTCTGACAGCTAATCAGAAACCACCATTCATGATCTATTTGCCACTTTGTAGTAATTTATTCAAGTTATTGGACCATAGACTGCTAGATTTGCTTCCCTCGAAGTCCTGCTTCAAGATATTTCAGCTAATAGGCACTTCTCACGGACCAAACTTGTAATGAGGTTGAATTTTGCTGAAAAACCCAACAGCAGCCTTTTTTTTAGCACCCCCCTACAAAGTAGTGTCTGGATTGGCATTGGTAGATATCACTAGAGTACATATAATTCAGGTACTGTATTTCATGGTTTAATAATTGTGCCTTTCTGTTGCTAAATTAAGAAATGCCATATATACTGTGATGTAAAAATGCCTAATTTTATTTAAAATCCTACATAATTAGGCAGATATTTTAAAATGTTAGATTGTCCATGTTTCTGGCATGGTTCGAGTTAACCAGTGTACTCAGTTTAGCCTGATCACAATTGCATAAATGAAAAGACCTAAGAATCATGTCCCTAAGTTCAAGATGTTGTAAATGGACAATAATCCCTTTTGTAAGTATTTTTAATGAGTGTTGTAAGTTACTGGAAGAGGATATATTTTTCTGGAGATTGTTTATACAGTGGACAGATAGTCAAAATTAATGACCTAAACATACAAACAATAAAAACATCCCATTCTGCAAAGAAATGGGCTTTTCTTATTCTTCCAAACTAATGTAGAAGGACCATTGTTTTTAGATATTTGCTTATAAAATATAATACTTATTCTAGAAAAAAAAAGTATTTTTATGCATTAACATACTGGATTTAAAGGTGATGATCACTCTTACCCAATTTAGATAGCTGTAAGACTAGATAATCATCAAATTAAATTTTTAATAATTCTGATAGGCAGATTGTGAGCAGTCAGGACAGCATGATCAGTGCAAAGCTGGTTTGTGCATATCTAAGTTTTACTGAATTATTACACACTTTTCAACTTTTCATGATCCTTTTTCCAGTGATGAGCAGAATATGACCTTTCAACTGTAATTTCATATGCCTCTTTTGTGCTTCATTTTGTCTATGTTAATGTGTTGCCTAGTCTGGTCTTTCTATGTCAGGAGCTGTTGTACTGCAACAGGAGCTGTCTTATTGTTTGGCCAGCCATGAATTAGTTTTGTATTGTACATTTTTTTCAGGAGTAACATAATTTGGTTGGGAAGTAGACCGATGAGGTAGAATACAAAGCTTACGTTTTTTGTCAACAGTATTTGGAACTGGAAAGGGGCTTTTTTTGTGTTGGAGCTCATATCTCCAAACTGTTAATATGTAAATTAACAAAATTAGCTTTGTATCTCTCTCCTCCAGGCAGCCACAGTTATGGTACATTGGCATTAGATACTGTGAAAAGGTGACTTTTTGGGTGCATTTTTTCTTCAGTGCATTCAGAGTGCACTGCTCTGAGCTTCTATCAAACTGATAGTGTGTTCAACAGCTCCTGCAGTTGAAAAGACCTTATCTAGTAGAACATGATTAGCTTGTTTCAGTGAATATTTCTGGATTTGATTTTTCTCTCTGTTCCTCTTTTGCAGTTTAATGCTGAATGTGCAGTAAAAGGTAACTTGAAGGAGGGGTTTCCACTGGTGTGGCTTCACACAGTAAGATAGTCATTGAATAGGTAGCTGGGGGAATGTTATACAAAATGCCTTATGCTTAAAGCCCTAAGCAAGTGGTGTAGTTCCAATTTTATTAAATTAATCTGAGGCCTGGTAAATATAATAGGATAACTTTGTCTGAAACTTAGGGCATATTCTACTTAAATATCCTAGTTCTACAGTTTGTAGTGAAAAAATGTTTCAATTCTAGCACAGAAGAGACAAGTGAGAAAAACTAATTTTTAAGGTACATATTTGACTTCTAGGAACTTCAGCTTTACAGCATAAGAGCATTCTTAAAGCTGTCTTTTCTAGCTGTGCTTGCTCTGTTGTACTATTAATGGGAAATATAATCTACTGTGGAAGACGCAGAATGGGTGAAAAGATCACTGCAGGTAGGGCTTTCAAGAGGCTAAGGAAAATTGCACTGTAGCTTATTCTGCTAATCACAGATATATATTTTATATTTTTATACATTGGGTAACTTAAAAATGTCATGTTCCACGTACCACATAGTCTAGTACACAGGAAATGTAAACCAGAATGTTTATACAGCACCTTTACAACCCTGTCTCTAAGACTGCAAAAACTTAACTGAAGTTTACATGAAAAAGGTTTTACTCTGCTATTTTCACATTTTGTAAGGGGCTAGGTTCAAGAGGGAAGTTTAGCACAAAATTTCATGCAATATGAATACTGTTACAGAACAAAGAATCACCAAAATGCAAAAATTTAAAAACCCAACTTAAGTGTTTGTATTTTAGAATATTTTTGTTTAATAATAAGCTCAGATTCCTCCAAATCAGGCATTACAAAACAGCAGGTAATACTGGAGCACTTTCTTTGCCCTAAGGTATTCCTAGAGTGGAACATGAAAAATGTTTCTAGTGTGAGCATCAGCTGGTACCAAATTACTTATAAATAAATTTCATATAGCTTTAAAAGGTAGTTAAATGTTGTTTTAGAAAGACAATACACTTGAAACCTTTCACAAAGTGGTGCAAAAACATCTTCATACGTCACTGCTAGTGAACTTCCTCAGTTTTGAATTGTATAGTCATAAAGAGAGAAACACTAGTACTTTATAGAAGCAGATATAAATACATTTATTACAGAAAGCTGTGAGTTAAATTTTTTAATTACTGTATGAAAGAGAACCTGCAACTAACAGTCATGTAGAGTGTAATTCGGCACGAAATTCCGTTTTCCAAGAGGCTGAAGAGACTCAAATTAGTCTTGGACTGCCTTAAACACAGGAGCAAGATTTTTTTCTGACTTGGCCTTCAATCAGAACTAAAATATACATTGCATTGTGGGTAAGCTTGAGAAACTAATATTTTGAAAGAAGTTTCATGTTTATTAAAAAAAGGTGTTACTTTTCAGTCCCATACCATGAAGTGGGGTTGACGCATCTTCTGTGTGATCATCTAGCTCTTCAGTCTTTGATCACATTTGCCTTACCACTTACCTTGCAGATTGGGGAGGGGAAGAAGCTGTTTTAAGGTAAATTGGCAAACCAAAGGGAGTTGTATTTTGTTTATCTACTTGGATATTTTTTTTTTACCAACAGTGTTAAATTGTCTGGATTTTAAAAGCTATTTTGCTTTCCTTTGCTACTTTTTTTTTTTATTGCTGCTTTCAGTATTTTTTACTCAATTTATTTCTTGTTTCCCAAGGAGTGTCCTGAACTTTTTGTAAGCAATTGCTACTTTTATGTGAAGATTGTAATTTTGAACTTGTAAATACTTAAGGGCTGTTAGTGGCTGTTTGCTGCTCAAATACATAAAAACAAACCTTGCATGCCGTAAGTAAATACATCTGTTGTGCTAAAAGTTGTTGCTATTTCAGTATTTGCTTTCTCAATACAAAAGAGAGATTTTCCACACACAATACATAAGATATTTAATGACTCAGTGGTATGAAGGGGCATTGATGTTTAACTCCTGTTAACTTTACTGGGAGTTCTAGTTCCTTCTGTATGACATTGGGAATGAACCCTGATGCATAGAGGCATCAGTGCGTGTGAAGTGACTTAACCTCCTAAGGTGTAAATGTCCTTCCCTTGCTTTGGAGGTCTGAGAGATTATTCTTTTTAAAATAATACTTGGCCCAGTTTTTACTAGACTTTTAAAGGGCTTAACTAGGAAGCTGTTTCTCAGTAGCTGGAACTGGTTGTACATTTGCAACACTTAATTGATGCTTGTCCCTCTGTACCATGGTTATGCTGAAGGACAAGATGCCAGAGTGCTATGAGTAGATAAAATGATGACAGGAGAATTGATTTCTTGCTTATTATGACTCAATTTACTGTAACTGATCCTTGGGTGGGTTTATTTGGTCTAATGTAGAATGTTTCTAGGTTATACAATTTATTTCTATGTTCTACAAACTTACTTTAAGGAAACCTTGACTTTTTTCATGGGAGGAATTCTCATTGAATGACTTTATGCCAGAACTTTATTCTAGTGGAAAGCTTAAGTGACCTTTTTGTTTCAGCAAAAAAACTATAAACCTACTTTTAAAAATATTGTAAATACTGTATTTGTCAACGGATTAATTATATCACTAATGTTGTTTTTCTTCTTAAAATACTTTTTGAAACAAAGGCAGATAAAGGTTAATTTGGAAACAAAATGTGATGATGTGTGTCAGAGAGGATGTGACTCCTTAGGTGTTCTCTAAAAAGTGAGTATCATATACTGGAGTTGAAGCAAATGTTAACTATGCATTAGTAAAATATCTTTGCACTCCATTCTGCACTAGAAATAATTTGCATGTTGGTAAGAGTCCAGTTAACAATACAAAGCCAAGCAGTCAGTGTTTGCAGTGTATAATTAGTAACTGTTCCTTAAAGATCAAAGAGTAGAGGGTACATAGGAGAATACTACCTTAAAGATACCATAAATGTAAATAAAAAGTCCTATCAAGTTGAAGAATTTTTACTCATCTCTAAGCTTTGACTAAATTAGTCACTAAGTTTTTCCCACAACTTTATTTTTGTTAGAAAGTGCAAAGAAAGACAAGGGTGATACTCCTGAAACAGAAATT